AAAGTCAGCTTTTTCCCCTTTTGAGATTCCCTGGTGGCTCAGATGGTAGTGTCTGCCTGCAGTGTGGAAGACCCGGGTTTGATCCCTGGGTTGGGAAGATCCCCTGGAAAAGGAAATGGCAACCCACTCCAGTATTCTTGCCTGGAGAATCCCATGGATGGAGGAGCCTGGTGGGCTCCAGTCCATGGGGTCATAAAGAGTCACACATGACTGAGCGACTTCACTTTCTTTCCCTTTTAGATTGTCGTTTTTTAGTTAATGTTGGAATAGAGTCGATTAACACTGCCACATTTGTTTTAGGTGTGAAGCAGCTTGATTCAGTTCACTGAGGTGTACATCTGGTCTTTCTCGGACTCTTTCATATAAGTTACTCCACACTGTTGGGAAGAGTTCCCTGTGTTAGACAGTAGATCCAATTTTTTTTTCCTGTTTTATACCTGTCAGTGTACATATGTTCATGCTAAACTGCAATGTTATTTCTCTCTCCCAGCTTTCCCCTTTGGTGACCCTAAATTTCTTTTTTTAAGCCTGTGAGTCTGTTTCTGTTTTACAAATGGGTGTTTTTGTATCAGTTTCTAGATGGTTCTTGGGGGTGACAGCATATGCTGCTCTCTTTTTCTGACTTGCTTCTCATTGTATGAGTGTTTCCCTGTCCATTGTAACTGGACTTCCTGGACTGAGTGCCCCCTTTTATATCCATTGGATATCTTCCTCTTGTATCTGTTTGATGATGAACAGCTGGGGCCTGACTTCCATTTCTGAGCTCTTGAAAGCATGTTGCAATGAAACTTCAGGTGAACGAATTTCTTATTACAGTTTCACTCTGATATAAGCACAGATGTGTGATTACAGGTCACATGTAGCAATAATTAGTTTCTTAAGAAACCTGCATAGTGTCCTCTGTGGTGGCTATTGGCCAGTTTACGTTCCGAGCAGAAGGCTAGGAGGAGTCCTTTTCCCCACACCTTCCCCAGCATTTATTATGGGTAGAGTTTTTAATGATGGCTCCTCTGACTGGTTTGAGGTGACCCTTCATTGTAGTTAACATTTGAATTTGTCTACTAATGAGGGATACTGAGCATCTTTAGTATTTGTCTTTTAGTAAAAACTCAAGAAAAATCTACCTCTTAAAATTGGCTTCCTGAGATTTGGCCCTGTTTTGAATTTTCTTTCAGTTACCTGCCTGCATGCATACTACTACTCCGAATTTTTGCAACCCTATGGACTGTAGCCCTCCAGGTTCCTCAGTCCAAGGGATTTTCCACACAGGAATACCAAAGTGGGTTGCCTTTTCCTCCTCCAAGGCACCTGCAAATTTCTCCAGGTGATTAAAAGCTTTGCAGGCTTTCTGGTGAATTCAAAAGAGCACTGGTTTTCCAGTGGTACTTATAGAAGTGTCCACAAGGCAGCAGCATTCTCGCAGTCCCAGCACTGGTTTAATAGGGCCAGGTTAGGAAAAGCCCCTGCTCCTGGCTTGCTCCTGGGAACACCCGCTGCCAGAAGAAATGCCCTGGACTGTCTCAATACTTCCGCCCCTTACCCTTTACTCTGAACAGGTGTCAACTTATGCCAGGGATTGATGCTGAGGTTTCTATCTTCTGGGCTAGGGTCTCCAAGGAAGGAGGCTTCTGTGGGGACCCTGGAGCACCAGGATATGTGGAAGCCAGGTGATACTGCAAAGCTATGCAGCCCAGAGAGTCAGTTGTTTTTCCAGCCCTTGCTTACCTTCCTTGTCCAGTGACCCTCCTGCATCAGGACAGTCTGGTCCCATCCCGAGGTTCCAGGCACAACAGGTCCAAGGGGGATGCTCTCTTACACATGCCTCCCAGCTCCCTGAGCCCCATGACTGTGCAACATTAGGATACAGCCAGCTCCGGCTCCAGGGATGAAATACTAGGCCCACGGAGCCAGGCATGAGGGGAATCGAATCAGCGTCTTTCCCTTGTAGATTGTCATTTAATTTTTCGTTCACGTGGGACTAGTGTTGATTAACACTGTTGTGTATGCTTTAGGGGACAAGCATCTCTTCTCAGTTCACTTATCATGATGTGTACACCTAGTCTTTTTTGGAGTCTTGGCCCATATAGATTGTTCCAGTGTTAAGGAGTTTCTCTGTGCCAGCCAGTTGGGCCAGGTTTCTTACTGATTTTTATCTGTCAGTATGTAGGTGTTAATTCCAAATTGTTTATTCTTTCCTCCCAGCATTTCTCTTTTGATACCCTAATTTTCTTTTCTACGTTTGTGAGTCTGTTTCCCGTTAAAAATTGATGTGTTTGTATCTCTGGTCAGATACCACCTGCAGGTTATATGGTATTCTAGTACAGTTTATCATTCATTTTTGGTCACGTGAGAATTTTTGTTGCAAAGGTCTGATTTCATCGAGTTTCATGGCTGAGTAATTTTCCCTTCTGTGTACCCCATCTTCCTGAACCATCCTGTGCTGACGGCCACTTTGTTGCTGGCTTCCAGGTGTGGACAGCATGTTGCAGTGAATGTGAAGTGCATATATATATATATTTATATTTATTAGTGTTTCTTTCGGATATAAGCCCAGGGGTGTGAATACAGATCAAATGTAGGTCTGCTTACCATTCACGGAACCTTCATAGTGTCCTCCTTTAGTAGCTTTACTGGTTTCCCTTCGGAGAATATGACTAGCATGTTTCCTTTTAACCAGCTCCTTTCTAGGATTGATCGTAGAGTTTTCAATAGTGGACACTCTTGACTGTCCCGAGGTGAACCCCCTTTGCAGTTACCAGTGGCGTTTCTGTCCTGATGAGTGCTGGTGTGTTCTTCTTATGTGTTTTAAAGTTTATTAGCTTTACTTGGAGGATAATTAGTTTAAAATATTCTGATTTTTTTCTTTTTGCCAGACATCACTGTGAATTGGCCACAGGCATACATGTGTCCCCTCCATTTTTGGTCACGTGAGAATTTTTGTTGCAAAGGTCTGATTTCATCGAGTTTCATGGCTGAGTAATTTTCCCTTCTGTGTACCCTCCATTCTGAACCCCACGTGCACCTCCCTCTCCAGCCCGTCCCTGCAGGTTTCACAGAGCACCAGCTTCGCATGCTGTGCTTCACATCGCCCCGCGGTGGTCATCTGTTTTACAAGTTATAATGCACGTTTCAGTGCTGTTCTGATAAATGACCCCAGCCTTGCCTTCCTGCACTCAGTCCAGAAGTCTGTCTACTTTCCACCTGTTTCCTTTGCTGCCCTATGTGTAGGATCGTTGGTGCCGTCTTTCAGGATTCCATACATGCTTTAATATACGGTGACTTACTTAACTCTGTATAATAGGCTCTAAGTTCATCCACCTCATTAGAACTGACTGAAATGCGTGGTCTTTTTTTTTTTTTCAAATAGCTGAATAATGTTCCATTTTGTATATGTCCCGTAAATTCCTTATCCATTCATCTCTCAAAGGACAGCTAGGTTGCTTCCACATCCTAGCTATTGCAAATAGGGCTGCAATGAACATTGGCATACATGTATCTTTTTCAATTCTGGTTTCCTTAGGGTATATGCCCTGTAGGGGGATTGCTGGGTCGTATGGTAGTTTTAATTTTAGTTTTTTTTAAGGATTCTCTATACTGCTGTCATAGTGGTTGGACAGATAGATAAACATAGAAGAATTGGACAATTAGGGTAGAACAGTAAAGTTTCAAGATGAAGTTAGGACAGAAACCTCTTCCATCACTCCCTGCTGACCTTCCCTGTTCCATCCTGCACATGGATGGCGCAGCTTCAGCCGTTACTCTGAACTTCCTAGTCCAAGCAAAAATCGAAGCATGAATTTTCTCCCAATGACAATCAAATGAATAAAGCAAACTGCTCTGGAAAAGAGGAGCTTTTCCTGGTACAGGGAACTGAGAGAAATGTTTCTGGGGTGAGTGGGAAGGTGGGGTGGAGGTTGAGTGGGTACCCAGTTCTAAAGACAGCCTCATGGGACATACTCGGCAAGTTTCACAAGTGGCTTCCTGGGAGAGACCTCAATGCAGCTCAGTGGCAGAACAGCAAAGCACAGTTTGTGAAAGTTTATAGAACCCAGGAATGTGACCCTGAAATGAGCTCCCCTGGTGACTCGGCGGTAAAGAACTTACCTGCAGCGCAGGAGCTGCTGGAGGTACGGGTTCAACCCCTGGGTTAGGAAGATCCCCTGGACAAGGAAATGGGAACCCACTCCGGTATTCATGCCCGGAAAATCCCATGGACAGAGGAGCCTGGCGGGCTACTGTCCATAGGGTCTCAAAGAGTCAGACATGACTGAAGTGACAGCATGCACGCATGTATGACCCTAAAACAGCTTCTTGTTGCTTAACCCAAGGATTAAATGTAGAATAACCTAAGGTATACTACTTAACACATTTGTTTTAGTTATTGGTTCACACCTGCTTACCCCTCAAAGTGATCATCTTATCACGTCAGGACCACGTTTAACTTTGGTGTGATTAGTGGTAGAAAACTTCAAAGGAAAGGAATAAGGAGAACCATCTTTGCGTGTGACTGTCCAGCAGTGATCACAGTCCTCTGCTTTGAATTCTATGTACTCAGAAAGTTAGGTTCATAAGAGATCCAGGATCTGCACTTAGGTCGTCAAAGGTTTTCTTTACTATTTCTAGAGGCTGACCTCCTGAGAGTTTTGCACTAGCTGAGCAAAAGGACTGCATCTAGGTCAGTCAGCTTCTGGCGCTTGCGGAAGAGAGCCTTTACAGATATTTAGTGAAGTCAGCAGTACTCAAAGTTTTAAATTTAATTTTCCCTTTGTCAGTTGTATTTGCAAGTAAGATATTACATTACTATATAGTGATTACTGTGTCTGATTCAGAAAGAAGTATACGCATTTTCAGTAGAAAAAGAAAAAGATTTATCAAATGACTTTGGTTCTTCTCAAATAACCCTTCTCTGTATAATTTAGGTCAAAATGTGCTCATGATGATATATATACCTTCTTCTTGTTTGTTTATAAGTTAACTGCTGCCTGTCTTTGTACACATAGGAGCTTGATAAAGAACTCCCGGTGCTTAAGCCATATTTTATTGATAACCCTGAAGAAGCTGGAGTGAGGGAAGCTGGCTTGAGAGTCACGTGGCTGGGACATGCGACGGTGATGGTGGAGATGGACGAGCTCATCTTGCTCACAGACCCCGTCTTCAGCGCTCGGGCCTCCCCATCGCAGCACGTGGGCCCCAAGCGGTTTCGTCGTCCCCCGTGTGCTGTCGCCGAGCTGCCCCGCATAGACGCGGTCCTGGTCAGCCACAGCCACTACGACCACCTGGACTACAATTCTGTCATCGCTCTCAACGAGCGATTCGGTAACGAGCTGAGGTGGTTTGTGCCTTTGGGGCTCCTGGACTGGATGCAGAAATGCGGCTGTGAGAATGTGATCGAGCTGGACTGGTGGGAGGAGAACTGTGTCCCCGGACATGACAAGGTCACCTTTGTCTTCACGCCTTCCCAGCACTGGTGTAAAAGGACTCTGATGGATGACAACAAGGTTCTCTGGGGGAGCTGGTCTGTCTTGGGGCCTTGGAACCGATTTTTTTTCGCAGGAGATACTGGTTATTGCTCTGCTTTTGAAGAGATAGGAAAAAGATTTGGCCCTTTTGACCTTGCAGCTATTCCCATTGGAGCGTATGAACCAAGGTATGTTGATGTCCAGAGAAAGCATTCCTGCTACATGGTAAATCAGCTGGGCTCAAAGTAGTCATGATACATATAATTTGTGGTTTTATTGGTGGACTTTGTTATACATTGGGTAGAGGCTTGTGCATCAGACTCAGTTAAAACTTTTTTTTAATTTTAAAGCATTTTAATTAGTCATATCAGTTAAATAATTATTCAAAATCAGAAATTATATTGCCAAGAAAGAACACCACAGTTTAAACAATTACTATACCTAGCACAAAGTTCATGTACTATTCCAACTAAAGTTAAACCCATCAGCTGATAATCATATCTGACCTCGGCTTTGCCTTTTACATGGAAGGTACTATCCTTATAGAAAGAACCACCTTCTGCTCCCTGACTGGACTGGCCCCATCCCCTGCCCTGTGTTGAGGGCAGAAAAAGCAAGGACTTGGCCTATGGCATCAGTCCCTGCTGATGGTCTCACTTCAGTCAGCAATGCAGTCATTCGGGTCAAGACAGTTTCACGACTGATGGTTTCACTGGCCCTCCAATCTCTCTGCGCTCATCACCTGACTTCAGAGCAGATAAAGGTCACACTAGCATTTGAGACCCATCCACTGCCTATCTTTTCCTTAACTCTATTTAAAGAAAAAAAGAAGTGATTTCAAAGAACTTGGTTAGATTTCAGTGGACTGTGGTTGATATGTACAGGTGAAGAGAAAAGAAACACTGAAAATAATGAGATAAGGGCTAATTTTAAAAATGTTGTATTTTCTAAGGTGCATGTGTAGGGTCATGTATGCAGACAGAATGGTATGTAGGATGGCATTTTAATTTAGGCAGTCCTACAAAGAGAAGAAGGCTGACACAGATGAACTGATTCAATCTGAGCATTTGTTTCTGATTTTGTTATACTTTTTTAAAGTTCATCATAAACCATTTCATTACTATTTCTATTAATGCTTATTTCTCCCTTTCCCCCCTAGTTTCTTCATTTAAGGGACTAGATATTTTTACCTTATTGAAAACTATTATGAACCATTAACTCTACCAGAATTTCCCTTTTCCACATACTTCTAATTCTGAATTCTAATGGAATCTCTCAGAATATCAGTCAACCTGTTTACATATCAATTTTATATGGTATTGATTCTTATTCAATATATCTTCTTAGTATATTAGAATACTTCTTATATGTAATTGTGAAAAAAAGATTTCATATGTAGCAAGATCCATGTGCCATATATATAGGTGATGAAACAATGTGTACAGCCTAAGTATACATATGCACTCATATAATTCCCTTTCCTGCTTGCATTGAGGCTATCTTGTTCCTAAGATGGAAGAAGGAGCAGGGCGGGGACAGTGTTTGCTCTAAGTAATTAAATCATGGTAGCCTCTACTCTGCAGTTCAGTTATCTGGTCAGTACTTAAAGTTTTAGAAATAATGTTATCAGAAGCATTTCAAAGTAGTCTATAAATGTAAGACGATTACACCCAAAATGATTTTCAGTGATCTTAGAATGTTTTCATCCTTACATCTGGGATCCCCTGTCATCAAGTTTACTATCCAAGTCAGGTGGGATTTTAAGTTTTTAATTTTTATACCTGAGTGAACATTTTAAATGTACTTCAGACAGACATGAAGGTAGAAAGGAGTATGTGTATTTCTTTGATTTGAAGTGCAAGTTTCAACAAATCAGTAGAGACTCCTGATTCTACAGTAGAGCCAGGAGAAGCTGTCTGCATCCTGCCCTGCCTTCTGCGTGTCGGGAGACGGAGCAGAGCAGAGCGTGTCTCAGCTGCTGTTGAGCAGAACGCAGGGGCTTCGTCCTGAGCCCTGCAGCTCCTCGCCACCGATAACGCCTCTGTGCTGTTGCGGACAGATGGGCTTTTCCACAGTGTCTCTGAACACCGGAGCAGCTCCCTGCTGGATCCAGGCCGCTTAGTTTTAACTGCAGCATGAGCTGCCGGGAGCAGATCCAGGATGTAAATGATGTGAAGACACTTGTTTTTCTGAAGTGGTGGCTGGGAAAGCAAAGGATTTACTTCTAGGTAGTACCTTTACTTATCAGGAATAATTCTTCGTCCTGAAAGTGCTGGTGTTGTCAACTAAGTCGGTGCTGTATTTGACTCTCTGAATAAACTCTGTTTAATCCTCACAACACCCCTGTCAAGTGGGAATAGCTGCTATTTCACAGACAAGGAAGAGGCAGGCTGGAGAATTTGAGGTGGCTGCCAAGGCATTCCCAGGAATCGGTAGAGCCAGGGTTTATGCCCAGGCCCCCCATCTCCAGAGCTCTGCTCTTACCAGGCATGAGGCAGCCGGTCAGCATTTCTACACTCTGTCCAGTCCCCCGAAGTCCCCCTTTTTCATACCAAACCACACACCTCATCTTTGGTTGTATGATGTTTAATTCAATCCTTGATTAGTAATTGGATTTTTTTTTTTTTTGCTCCTGATATTATACAGTAATTTTGTTTGCTTTTCACTTTTAGCATGTTAAAAAAAATGGTTTCTGTAAGTTATTCAGGTTATTTTGCAACTGAGGTTTTGATTTTTAATTTGTTACCCATTATTCCACTTCTTTGATTAGTACCAAGACTACAAGATATCTTTTTAAGATAAGACATTTCTTCAGAATAAATCCTCAGTAAAATGAAAATACATGTGGAACAAAATCTTACTAGTCAAAGGGGAGTTTTGCTTGAGGCTTGTAGTTTGTTCAAAAAATATTTTAGTGGTCTGAGGGAGACGGTTTTGACTACTGTGGCTTACTCCTGTGTAGAATCTTAAAGGTTAATGAAGCAGTAATTAGAATTTAGTATATATTTCAAAGGCCATATTTAATAAATTACTGTTTTCTAAGGTGGTTTATGAAGTACCAGCATGTAGACCCAGAAGAGGCTGTAAAGATTCACATTGATGTTCAGACAAAGAAGTCTGTGGCAATTCACTGGGGAACTTTTGCCTTAGCAAATGAGGTAAGTACGACTGTGGTCACAGTAACTCATTGTGTGTCTGACACAGGATACGATTCAGGCATCAGTGTTATCTGGCAGTGTGTTCAGAAACCAGACTAGAATCTGAACCTGTGTGGTCATCATAGTCATCAACGTGAATTACAGTGGTAAATAATTAGTAAAACTATTTATATACAGTGAAAAAAACCTCTTCATTGCATGGGGTCTTTTGAATTATTTATATAACCAAAAGTATGTGTGGTCTTAGGAAATAGAAAAATGAATCATGTCATTCCTCTCAAGGCAGGCTTTTGTTTCCATGGAAGATACAAGATAAGTATGGAATTGCTCTAAAAATGTTATAAAAAGTGGGGTAGATAAAGGGGTCTCAGAGTCAGGGACTGTTACTAATTGAAGGGATCAGGGAGAGCTTCATGGACAAGGTGACATTTAAACCTGGCTGTCAGAAGGTAAGGAAGAAGGCATCTCAAGATGAGAGTGTTGGCATGGAGATGGTGAGCAATGAGTTCAGCCGGGGAAGTAAGGCTGGACAGCTTAGAACTTTTCAGAAGTGTTATTTGTCTAGTAAACACTGATTGTGTGTCTGCTGTGTGCCAGGCACTGGGATAAATAAATGGTGGTTTTATTCCTAGACTAGTAGAGAACTTCATTTTCCTATAAGGGACCTGGACCCTAGAACTCTACTACTAGGCAGAGTTGTGGGATCAAACAGAAGCTTAGCAAAAAGCTTTCTCTCCTCTCCTGGAGCCAGGGCCTGTCCTCAGCAAAACTTAGAAACGGACAAGTGAACGCAGCTGCTTCTCCTCGCTCTCCACGGCACCTTCCACATTCCAGGGCCTCTCTGCAGGAGTCCTCTGCTTTTTAAGCATTCCCTCTCTCTGTCCTTTTTCTGGCCTGCCTTCTCCCTGGTTGCATCTTTTTCCATAATTAACACACTGCCTGCCCCCTGTCTACTCCCTCCCATCAAAATTCCCACTCTGCAGTGCTACGATCCTGATGCAGTGCTACGATCCTGAGCTACACTCTTTGGGGGACACAACAGAATCAATAGCTGAATGACCATGGGCATAGCAAGGGTGAAGGAGAGTATGTGTTTCTGTGTACACAGGTTTACCGCTGTATTTAGTGGCAGTGTCTTGTTCCGTGTGTGTGCATTCCATATGTATATAAATTTAGATATAACTATGCTTATTTATGGTCCATTTATATTTCAGCAACTTAGGTGAAGTAATATTATTTTATTAAATGCTGCAAACAGAAGAGTCAAAGATGAGTCCTAGATTTTTAACTCAAGTAATTGGGAAGATGGTTATGCTCTTGACTGACTGAGATGGGAACTTGAGGAGAGAAAAACCTGTCTTTAAGAGTTATTGTATTATTCAGCCTTACTCCTGTTAAAAATCTAACCTTCATCTTTACGTCTTAGTGAAACATAAAATACAAACTCATTTAGTCTTTTTGACATTATTTGTATAAATCTGACAACTGTGAGTTTGCTAACTAAATTTTAAAGAATTTGTGGGGAGGATATTTAGCCTATGCTTTGCAGACAGTTTAAAATTATTTGCATGTAAATAGTTGTAATAACTGCTCGCTACAGTATAAGCAGCTTAAGGATGTCCTTGACTTGGGAACACTTAAGTCAGAGGTTGCTGTACATACATTTTATCTGAGGAATATCGAGTGAATTTCTTACATGTATTTACACACTTAAGTCACTAGTTTCGGTGGAAACAGATCGTAGGCACTACATTATATATGTTAACGTCTTAAATGACCAGGCTCTCCATTTTGAGTATCTTCTATCTTACAAAGGGAACAGTTTGAGTTTTCTGGGGCTGGTTGCTTGGCCTTCAGTGGGTCCAGACTGCTGGGAGCTTTCACCACTTCCTCCTATTTATGTCTAATCTACTATCTTGATTAATGCATGCTGTTTGGTCCCAGGGCTATGGGGCATTTCTGTCTTCCCTGCAGGACTAAAGTGCCTGCACTAAAATAGTTTTCTTGCCTATTTCTCAAGTTATCTTCTAGATGGTTGAAGCAGCCAAGAACTGACCTGTGAAGAAACTCACAGAGATAGTGCAACATCAAAATCCATACTAAGTTATAGCTTATAATTAAAGTTACAGTTTAGGAAAGAAATTATTAGTGTGAGAGAATTGTGTAAGTGTTTTATTATTGGCTGAGAGTTGTAGAACTCAGGGGAAGTGGGGAAGAGTTTCATCATTTTGAAATCTCTTAAAAAACAATTTTGCAAAGGAAAGCTTCTTGACTTGGGCTATTAAAGTTATATTTCACTGGTGATATATTAGCAATCTCCTACATGCAAAGAAAAGACTAACCGATTTCTGTTATCAGCTGACCTTAATAAGTGGCTATTTCTAGGAATGCGGGATAACCAATGCTTAGTTAAGCTCAGTACTCAGCAGACAGTGGCAGTGCATCTCTGAACACAGCCGTAAACCTAGAAGTGAGCAAGCAGGGAGGAAAAAACTGGAGTTTGGCCAGTAACTGTTAGCAGATCCGTGCATCTGAAACCACGGAAAACTTGCCTGGTTTTCCTACTGCATCACTGGCTGGCCCTTCGTAGTCTCTATGGCTGGTTCCTCCTCTCCCTCGCAGCAGTGAGAATGTTAGGACTCCATCATCCAGGGACCCCTTCTCTTTTCTAATGGGTTACTTCTGGGCGAGCTCACCAGGCTCATGGCTTTAAACACGGTCTGTGCACTGTAAGCTCTCTAACCCAGGTTTCTCCCTACAATCCACGTTACCTACTTTCCTCCACTTGGATGTCCATCAGGTTACAAAACCTTCATACTAAAAAGTTAAAAAGCTTCATACCAAACTTCCTTTTCTTTCCTCAAACTTGTTTCTCTTACATTTCTGTAAATGGCAAAATCCTCCTTGCAGCTCCTCAAGCTAAAATCTTTACTGTCGTATATCCTCTGTCCCACTTTCTCCAAATGCAGTCAGCTCACCTTTCAGACCATGTTTGGACTCTTGACTGCTGCTTATCCTGTTCACCAGGTCACGCTGCCCCTTGCTGTCTGTTTGCCACACTGCAGAGGGCAGTGACCTTTACCCCTAAATCAGATCATGACACTTCTCTTCCCGGAGACTCCCCCCAACCCCCAAGTCAAAGCCACAGCGCCTCTAACAGCCGACTGTAAAGCCCTATGCAGTCTGCTCCTTCTCTGTTCAACTGCTGCCATCTCCAAGAGGACTTTTTAGGTGGCTGTATTTAGAATTAAACCTCCACCTCTGATACTGTTTTGTCCCCAGAACATATCACCCACCCCAAGACTTTTTTCTTATTTGTTCACTTCTTACCTGTCTGTGAATTGGGATGTAAGCTCCAGGAAGGCCAGTGCTCTTATTTGGCTCCCTGACCTGGCTACTCCGGGTACTCACAAGACACTACTGCCTGAAGGGTAGCAGCGGGCTTACCACCGGCGATCAGAGTAGAGACCCGGTGATTTTTACTCCCGCTTTAACTTTCACATTTTACAGCTTTTCTGATTGAAATTGAAAAAAAAAAAAATAACCCTTTCTGCAACAGCTGTTTTCCTCCCTCTATTTGATATAAAATAGCCACTATCCAATGTACAGACTTAACTCAGAAATAACTGGTGAAATGACTTATGTTTTATACCTTTTACTTTATAACACACTCAAGTGCTTTTAATTTATTTGGAAAACATTTGAGTAGGTTGAAACATCCTTCAGTAGTGTGCTATCTTCACTTTTTTTTTTTTTTTTTTTTTGAGCTAGGTGAGGAAACACAGTGAAACTCCACTTGTCAAATCTATTCTCCAGCTCCCTCTTCACTTCTCAGGCTACAGAAGTGGTATCTGGCAGGGGCTTGGGGATGACAGCCCTTCTGCAGGCAAAGATATTGTCTCTAGTGTTTGCTTACACACAGATACTCTTCCTTATAATCTTAAGTTTCTATATTTTCCCCAAATATTGGTAACACTTAATTCTTTAGCACTGGTTCCATTTAGAGTAGAATTTCATGTAGGGAAATAGTGATCAGAGTTCATGCAGTCTAATGTTCAATCTAAGTTGGCACCAAAGTTGACATATATGATGTTAGATAAATTGATCAGTGTGACACTTGTATCAACAATGATTATATATTAGAAAGTGATTGACTCACTTGCTAATCTTTCGATGAAATGGAAAGATACTTTAAGCAGGCTGTGTTGGTTATTCTAGTTGAAATCTTGTTTGAACTATCCTCTCAAATATAGGTGTGCTTAATCTTTTTCCACTTTTGTTTCTCTCTGCCCTTTGCCAGCATTATTTAGAGCCTCCAGTGAAACTGTGTGAAGCTCTAGAAAGGTACGGACTTAAGACTGAGGATTTTTTTGTCCTGAAGCATGGCGAATCAAGATACCTTAATACTGATGATGAAGATGTTGAGTAATATGAACATAAGAGCTTTTCATGAAAAAGGCATCATTTGATATACATGTGAAAAGACTAAGAAATTCATGAATATTATGATTTTTTACATTTGGAAACAACTTCTGTAGGTTTATGTTATCACCTGATACTAATATGATTGCTAGTCCATATAAACAAGAGTTCAGAGGTGGGTCATTAATATCCACATTAGCCAACTCATTATTTAAGGTCCGGTCTCAGTGACATAAACACTGCAATGGGTTTTGTTTTGTTTAAACACTAAAGCATTCTACTTTCATGGTAGAGCTTTGAGGTTATGAAAAACCGATTTTAAAAACTCACTTCTCTTTTTTTATTCTTAGGGGCCTTCTGCAAGGTAAGTCAAGGCTATATACAGGATATTCTATGACACATCTACAATCCTTATGGCAGAAGCCCTCTGAGCTGGGAAGTGTGGTTATGAGACATGACTTACGAAATTTTCTATTTCTAATTTAAAAGTCAGACCTGCTCAGCACAAATATAGCTGCAGGGAAATAATTTAAAAAGACAAATGCACATCTTATATGTTGATAGACCATATACTTTGGATTTTTATTTTTTCCCTATTCCATCTCCTCTCTATGTATATATACTCATTTTTTTTCTGGTTTCTTAGCTCAAACTCCAATGTCAGCGAGATTTACAAGTATTCTATGTTTTACATGATTGTGATGTCTTATATTTTTATATCCAATGATCCGTAAGCATGGTTCTACTTGTATTAAGCCTGTGTGGGATGTTAGAGGTTAGTAAGAGACAGTGATTTAGTCGTAGATGGGCTCTGCAGGTACGTGGTGACTGTGACCCTTCCGAAGGGGGAGAGCCGAGCAGAAGCCTGTCTGTCTCCCTGATCGAGTCTCAGTAAAATGAACTTTATTCATACAAAATAATTGAAGTACAGGTTTTTCTACACCAAACGCTACCCAGGCAGTGCCCTGTAATTTCTCTCACACATATATGCACGTAGCCAATCTGAACTTCAGTCCTGCTTCCACCGTGGACTTTGTGTGTGCCTCAGTGTCCTTGTGTGCAGTAAGAGGATGACTCCCACCTACCTCCAAACCTGAATAAATAATAGTCATTGGTGGTTTTTTTTTTTAAGCACTTTGAAAATACACTGCCTACTACAGATAGGTAGATTTGAAAGTGGAAAACAGGCTACTGCTTTTGATATATTTTCATATATTCAAGCATATATAGGAGCAGTAAAACATTGAGGACTGACAAGTTTATCTCCTTTTCCTGCATTCTGTAAATTTGCAGAGTTATAGCCAAAATAAAAGTAAATAATCTTTATAAAAATTTCAGTATTTCTAGCTACAAAGATGCAGCAAATTTGTTAAGGGGAACTGTATATGTAATACAGGTAAATGTATATGATTTGAGGGCACTAAAGCACAGAAAATTTCCCCATAAAATAAACCTTCAGAAGGAAAAAAAAACACCACACTTTCACTCCAAAGGAATATCTCGCAAGCAGACAGGACTCAAGATGTTAGGATTATCTGGCATGTGTGGCCCTAATACTAGCCAGTGCTCTGTGGTCACCTTCCTTGCTGTTGCACGCCAGACTGAAAATTCATCTCTTACCTCATCTCTGTGAAACAAGCCATGCACCTCTTGCTTAGTTATTTTTTCTCCTTGAATGGCCTTAATGTTAATTTTGTTTTCACATGTATTGTTTCACTGAGGGTCTCCAAGAACTTTAATTGGACCTGCCTGATTTTTCTAGGCTTCCTCCATGCTTTATAATTTTTATCTACATTTTGAAGAGTTTTATGTGCAAAGCAAAGACAGATTTTGAAAAATTAGAGAAATCCCCTCTGTTCCCTCCAGTCAGTTTAATACCTTTCATTTGTCTTATCCTCTAAGTCAATTTCATTTTTCTCTTTGATTAGCTAGTACCCATACCAACATGTAAGATTTTATTGAAATGCATTTCTCCTGTGGTCTGAGGAACACTTTGATACTCATTGACCAAGAGGGTGCAGCCATCAAATAGGACCACCTAAAAAAGTAAGATGTGCCCTGACCTGCAAAGGTAAAGATCTAACTGCATTTTCACTGTGTGATTCTTTCTAGATAGTTGAAATGACTCCCCCCTGCCGATTTTCTCTAGCAGTTTGACATTTCAAACTCAATGCTCTGATCCCCAGGAAATGTTCTTTGAGAAAAAGAATAGAGGGAGTTTTAGAATACAGTGCTGCTACAACACATTAAAATCTAATCTTGATTTTAATGTGGGTACATTTTGAATATATATATTCATTAAATGAGGAAGACTACGCAAAATTGTTATAAAGAAATGTGCCTTTCAGGGAAGTAATACTTACATTTGCATCACTGAAAATGATTCTTAGTGCTCATAATGTACAGCTAGTTGAGAATTTTCATCATATACTGAATGTTTTCTACTGTAAAAAATATTTCTCCCAAGTTTCATCTCTGTATCAGTATAACCCTGAGAAAGCACATTTTCTGTTTGAGGATTTGTAACTTCCTATGGAAATCTATGTATTTAGAAATGAAATTTAAAGTACTCTTCTCTTAAAGATTTGCCTTAAATATGTGAATAGGAAACCTGCTTGCAAACTGATTTACTTAATAACTAAGCATGGTGGTGGTCATGAACTTGAATATTACAAAACATGGGGGTGTGGGGTAGAGAAGGGGAAGTCAAACATAGCAAATTGTTACAGTAGTTTATGGGACAAAAATACTATTAAAATAACTGCTGAGAATTTTTATCTTATAATTTTAGTCATGTAAAATATAGATGAAAATTAATAAAACTTTTCACTTAAAGGGAGAAAATAATCTTGCCACTTTTTTCTACTTAAAAAAAACCTATGAATTTTTTACTGTGAGCATACATTTTGAACACTAGACTAAGCACCTGTACAAAGAAAAGTCGTTTTCTCACTCTCCAATCCTGCTCTCAGGAGACTGGGTTTCATTCTAGATATACCAAAATGCCTATATATGAATGACAGAAGCATATATCCATATATAAGCATATGTTTTTAGATTTAAAAAACCACAAATGGAGTCACATTATAGCTATTTTTCTACAACATGTATTTTGAAAAACAATTATATTTCATGGATGTCCTTATGTATCAGCACACTGAGACTTCTTTAAAGTCTAGATAACTGATTTAACCAATTGCCTTTGGATGAATTTTGATTGATACCAGTATGTTATATACAGTAAAGAGGAGTGGGTATTAGGAAACATTTTTCCTAACAGTTAAAAGTTTTCATGGACTAAAAATAGATTCTAATGATTAGAACAGACCTGAGTGGCAGGTGGCCTTGGGAGTACAGGATCTCATCACTACTAGAAGAACAAGGTCCTTCCTAGGGCAGTTAGGAAACAGTGTTGCTGTCCCAGTGGAGTAACTGCAAATCTCTTTCGACAAGGGAAGGCTAGCTTACATACAAAACGTTATTGTCGCTCCCTGTAGAGGGAATAGCTGAAGTAGCTTACCAAAAAGCAAAATAGAAACAGTTTCAGAACAAGCTCTTACATTCATCTGGTGTCAGTAAAATGGTCCAAAGCAAACCAGAAGACCATGGCAAGTTGCAGCTGTGTTGAAGAGGAAATGTATTTACAGTGCATGATATTTACCGTTTAAATTCAACAGTTGAAAGAATCTCTTTGTGAGGAAGGTGAAAAATGAGAAATTTCTGTGTATTACTTCTAGACTGCATTACTCTTTGGAAAAATATGACCAACCAATTAGAATTTTGGTATCATTGTTACCTTCTCCTTCACATCTGCATCATGGTGATGAACTAAAGCTTTCATTTTCTGGGCACATTCTTTTCCATTCAACAGGGAAAACAGTGAACCTGCAGGGAAAGTTGGCTGCGTGGCTAAACTGCGCTCTTCGTTGAGGCAGTTTGTTATATTCTGAAGCAGTGTGAGAACTCGAAGAAGAATCTCCTTTGGTACATGGCCATCAAGAAGTGAAAGGAATGATGGGTCCACCTGAAATAGAAAACAATGAGAATTAAAAATATACAAAAACATTTTCCATGGGTCTTTTCACATGTACTGAACACATTTAAAAAATCCTGTTATGGAAAACTATCCCTGAGACAGCAGAACATAAATGTGTAAAATCTTAAGCACCCCTGTATAATATACCAAAGGAAACAGGAGGTTTTGTTTTTTTTTTAATTTTTTATTTATTTTTATTAGTTGGAGGCTAATTACTTTACAATATTTTAGTGGTTTTTGCCATACTTTGACATGAATCAGCCATGGATTTACACGTGTTCCCCATCCTGAACCCCCCTCCCACGAGGTTTTGTGTCTTAGCTTAAAAATACTGTTTTCTTGGAATCCTAGAATGTAGTCATTTTTCCTCTTTAAGATCCATCATATATAGTCATCATGGAAACTCATTAATTCAAGGTGCCAGGTATAAGGGCTGAGCAGATGAATAATAAAACAGGGTCCTTTTTCTATAGGATATTCTATTATAGTACAAACTATGCTTCCTTCAAAACACCACAGCTTTTAATTATCTTGCTCATTTCTTACATTTTCTGTCTCCTCTACCTAGACTGTAAGCGGCAAGCACCACATCAGGCTGTACTCACTGGTATATCCTAGCACTCAACTGGGCATCAGGTGCATGGTGGGGCCTCCATGAATACTAGTGTCGCTGGATACTGAGATACACTGAGCATTAACAGGTCAAGTATAAAAGGTGTGATAAGTACCCCAAATGAACAGACACAAAAATTACCATCTACTACTACTAGGGAAACCTTTCCAAAACAGTTTTCAGAAGTAAAATATGGTCTTTACAGAAAATTGAGGTGATTCATATAGGCAAAGAGAACCAAAACAGAAGGAAAAACCGCCTCTAATATTGCTCCTCAGGGAGAATTCCTGTTAATAGTTTGGGATAAATCCTTTCCTTCTGGATCTGTCTGTCCAAACTGATATATTTGTATAAATAGCACAAATATGCAGGTACTTACTTGGGCATCAAGAAGTCGATCTGTCATGGCTGGATTTTCAGACAAATTCAAAAGAAGTTTCAAAACTTGAACCTGAAACAAGAAAAATATCAGATTATTTCAGACAACCAAGTGTGGATTTTCTCTACCTGACGTGCTGTCTCCCAACCATGTTCATATTTTAAAGTCCTGCCTATTCGTCAAGGTCTGATTCAAATTCTCTCCATTCCACGAAGTCTTCTCCATTCATTTTACTTAAAAAGCTAAGTTTTTCAATTATACTGATAGGGAGAAAATAGTGAATGTCTTCACTTCAACCACTGGCCCACACAAATACTTAACACAGGGTAACTTTAACATGTTACATAAATAATTTTTATTATGATTACTGTTATGTAAAATGTGACCTTTGGAACAAAAAAACCATCTCTCAAACTTCAGTTTATTTCTACTTAAAAGTACGAAAATGTAGAGAAAGTTTGGTTATGAAGACTTACAATAAGGTGCTTTTTATTAGCTTTCTGTGATTCCTGGTACATACTGTTATGTGAAAAATTTTACAGTCTTTTAAACAGACAGTGATATAATCAGCAAAAAACATGTTAACAACTTACACTGGACTAGCTAAACTACCTGCATTCTTTTTTTTGCATTTCATTTTTAATTGGAGGATAACTGCTTTACAGTATTGGTTTCTGCCATACATCAACATGAATCAGCCGTAGGTATACACATGGCTTCTCCGTCTTGAACCTCCCACCCCACCCCACCCCCTCTAGCTTGTCACAGAGCACTGGGTTTGAGCTCTCTGCATCAGACAGCCAGTTCCCACTGGCTATCTAGTTTATATATGATAATGTACATGTTTCAGTGCTACTCTCTATTCATCCCACTCTCTCATTTCCAGTGTCCACATGTCTGTTCTCTATTTCTGCATCTTCATTGCTCCCCTGCACATAGGTTCATCAGTACCATCTTTCTAGATTCCATATGCATGTGTTAATATATGATACTTTTCTCTTTCTGACTTCCTTCACTCTGTATAATAGGCTGTAGGTTCACCCACCTCATTAGAATGGACTCAAATGTGTTTGTTTATGGCTAATATTCCATTGTACATATGTACCACAGCTGCTTTATCCATCTGTTGATGGACATCTAGGTTGCTTCCATGTTGAAGCTATTGTAAGTAATGCTGCATTTCAGTTACGGTTTCCACAGGGTATATCCCCAATAGTGGGATTGTTGGATTATATGGTGGTTTTATTCCTAGTTTTCTTTTTTTAAATTTTAGGATAATTGCTTTTCAGAATTTTATTGTTTTCTGTCAAACATCAACATGAATCAGTCATAGGTGTACATATACATCCCTAGTTTTTTTAAGGATTAGAACTTTCCCTAATCTTGCCCTGTGGAACCTTTGCTGGGAAAGAGGATATGCTGCCACCGTGTGGACACTTCCCATAATTACAACTGGAAAAACCAGGGCTGAGGGGAACTGTGTTATTGCAAGGCCTGCAGAGCTATTAATGAAACCTGCCCTGGAGAAATGTGCTGTGGTAAGCAATCAAAAGAAAATTCCAAATAGGCTCAAATTTCAAGCCACTTCAGGAGTTAAGTTTTACTCACAACATTCTTTTAAGAAATGAAACACAAGAGGATACTCACCATCCCTCATTAGTAGAGAAATGCAAATTGTCATTACAATGAAGGATCACCTTGAACCAGTCAGAGTGGCCATCATTAAAAACAACAACTGCCAGGGAGGGTGGGGTGAAAAGGAACCCTCCTAGCCTGTTGCTTAGACAGGAACCTAGTGACGGCCACGAGGGAGGACACTATGGAGGTTTCTTAACAAATTAAGTAGAGCTACATCTGATCTGGAATCCAACTCTTGGATATATGTCTGAAAGAAACTGCTGAGACAAAATTCATGCAGAACCACCCCAAAGGGTATTTGAGGAGAAAACCAGATTTTGAAAAGTCTCATGCAGCCAAGTATGCCCTGGACAAGAATTTTCCACATCCAACAAATGGAAGCAAACAAAATGTTTATCAAAAGGGGAATGGATAAGGAAGTGACACATGTACACAATACAATGTGATGCAGCCAAGAAAAAGAATGAATTATTGTGATTTTCAGGAACACAGGTAAAACTAGGGGGTAAAGTGAAGAAAGTAAGAATCAGAAAAATACAAATATCAAATACCACTTAAAAGTGGAGTCTAAAAATACACATAGATTACTTGAGAAAGTATAAGCAGACGTGAGTTAAAAAACATACTGAATGAGAAGGGGTGAGGGATAAATTATACAGTTTAGACGTAATCACTCTGTATGAAATAGATAATCAGCAAAGACCTAGGAAAGGAGTTCAACACTTTGCAATAAGCTATGTGGGAAGAAAATTCAATTGTGAATCAATATGTATATATGCAAAACTGAAAATACATTTTGTCTATCAGTGTTCATACAGTAAGAAATAAAAGTGAGTTTAATTAAAAATAACAAGGATGGAGACAAGCTTTCAGTCTGTGTTCTACTTTTCACTTTAAAATTCAACACTGAATCAGGACTTTCACTGAGGCTCAGGTTGCTTTAAAGAACCACAGTTGGGCTGAGGAGAGCCTGCCATTTTGTGGCCGCCGCTTAGATCAACAATGTTAACAGAGTTGAGTGATAATTTAATCTGCACAAGGCCTGCAGGGCTCTAAACTATACCTATTCTCAAGAAATGCCCTGGGGTAAATCAACAATAGAGAATTGGAAACGGCAGACTTTAAAGGAGCCACTTTCAAGAGGTAAATTTTATTTATACTTCATAAAATATAAGCACATCGAGAGATACAGAACATCACTCATTATTAACATATACACACTGATGCATGTTGACCAGATAAAAAGGAGCTACTGAATAGCATAGTGGACAGTACTGAACACTATTAATCTATGGGAAAAGAACCCGAAAAAGAAGATTCAGGTCTATGTACAACTGAATCAAGGTCCTGTACACCTAAAACAAACACAACACTGAAAATCAACTCTCCACCAGTGAAGAAGAAAAATTAAATGGGGGGAAAAGGTGCCATGAAGAAATGCTATTACCCTGTGGCTCTTTCCTCTAAGGGAAATTGTAAAAACCTGTGCTGATGGGCAATTAATATTCACAAGGGGCAGTCAAGAAAAACACCTGGCCTCAAGGTATATCCTGGGGTATGACATCAGAAAAGGTTTCAAACAGGGCAGATGCTCAGGAACCCAATTTCAAGAGCTGTTTCACTCACCTTGTTTACAAAAAGAAAAGATGTCAATATTGATAAATATTAGAGAAATGCAAATCAAAACTACAAAGAGATTTCCTCACACCATTCACAATGGTCATTGTCCAAAAGAAAATGCTGGAAATGGTGTGGAAAAATGGAAACCTCCCTGCACCCGTGGTGAGAAGGTAAATTAGTAACAGCCACAATGGAGAACAGTGTGCAGGTTGATTAATAAATGAAAAGGGGGATGAAATTAGAATAGTCACTAACATACAGAAAAATAAACTCCAAACATACTAAAGACCTCAACAAAAAGATGAATGCTATAGAGCTCCTGAGGAAAATACAGGCAGAACATGCTCTGATATAAATTTCAGAAAGTTCTTTTTTGATCCACTTCTTAGAATCAGGAAAAATAAAAATAAACTAATGGGACCTAATTCCACTTGAAAGCATTGGCATAGCAGAGGAAACCAAAAATACAACAAAAAGACAACCCTTAGAATGTAACTAATATTTGCAAACAAAGACACCCATGAGGAATTTATCTCCAAAACAGCTTATGCATTTCAGTATCAGAGAAACAACCCAATCAAATAGGGGCACAAGATTTAGAAGAACATTTCTCCAAAGACACAGAGATGGCCATTAAGCACATGAAAAGACGCTCAGCATTTCTAAGTTATTACAGAACTGCAAATCAAAAGTACAATGTGATATCACGCAGTTCAGAATGGTCATCATCAAAAAAATCTAAAACAATAAATGCCAGAGAGGGTGTGGAGAAAAGGGAACCCTACTACACTGTCGGTGTGACTGAAAGTTGTCAGGGAGTGTTTGACGGGAGGACTCCTACGTGCGGTCTCTCATGAGTCCTTTGTCCCTCTTCAAGCGGAACAGCACACTGCTCCCACGGACTGAGGTCATTGTGTGAGGCAGGCTTGGGTCTCCTTTAGTAAACATTCTCTTTTTGACAAAATTGCTTAGTCTTGCTCTACCTTCATGAGATATGGATTGTCTCCTGACCTTGTGACTAGGATTACCCCTTGTTCCCTTGGTAACGGTTACTGTATGTTTGGTTTTCTGATCCCTATCTTTCCCAAAAGAAGTTTCTTGTACTACAGCCTATATATACGCATAGAAAAATCATTAAAGCACCTTTGCTTCATCAGAGCTTAGGTCCCCGGGTCTTTTTTGTCTCTCTCTCTCTCTCTTTTGCTGGCTGAGTCTCTGGAGCGTGGAGACCCGTTGTGCTCACTTTTCTGCCCGGGCTTCTAAGACCCCCTCGAGAGGGTGCCTGGTGCCTTCATGAGCAATGTAAGTCCTGTGTCAAGGACTTTATTGGTCCTCTGCGTAAACCAAGGGATATCAGCCTCTTTCTCTCTTTCACTTTCTTATCATCGACTCCGTACCACCAGGTTCCGGTCCATTAAAGGACCCCAACAGAAAGTCAGTAAATCCATGGAGAACAGGACAAAGATTCATTAAAAACTAAATGGAGAAGTATCATAGGAACCAGCAATCCCATTCCTGGACATAGATCCAGAGAAAACTATAATTTTATTTTTAAATAAAAAGTTTTATTAGAGAAAAATAGAACCACCATGTACACAGGGAAAAGAGCACAAAAATTCAACTGATACAGAACTGAAAGTCACAACTACCCTATGTTGTTTGCAATTACTTTTCAATTTCTTAAATAGCTTCCCTCAATTTTTAAAATAGCCTTGCCAATTTTTTTCAGCTGAAATAGCATCAAGTTTTCAAAAAATTAAGAGCCTCAGTGAAGGGACCAGCTTTTAAGATAACAAAGGTGACACCAAGAGTCT